TGAAATACACTGTACTTGGCTTCTCAAAGGAAAAATTTATGCCTGAATTCATCCTCCTCATACTCCAGACTTCATCTACGCTTTTTCTCTTAAAGAGCAAGCATTTCACAGGATGTTCTTCCTAAATGAATAAGAGGTTTATTTCCGAGTTACCATGCTACTATTTTGCTACTTACTTAGCAGTTCAAGTCAGCAGTTTTTGCTGCTTAGCATGCCTGCTCTACAAGGTGGATGACATCACCTTAACATCCAGGTTTGTAATGGGAAAAAATGCTTTTACATCTTCAGTGTGCCTGCTGTGTTTGCAGATGAACAAAGAACACAGGAAGAGGACAGAAGTACAGTTAGAGAAAGCGTCGTTAACTGTGAATATTAAACATGGAAAAGCAGTAGCTGGTCTCAAAGGTGGCCTCAAAAGGAAGAGAGAAAAAGATATGCCTGGAGATACCAGTGACACTGCTGAACATGGTGTAGGTAGGTTTGACTCTTTGCTACCCCCTGACAGCCGAAGACATTTCAGCAGCAGTAAAGGGGTGTGAACTTGCCTGTACTAACCCCCCACCAGCCGCTGCAGCAGAGTCCTCTAGCGTGGGCACAGCATGTAACCAACAGAAACTTTCCTGCTCTCAGCCTTACCACCTCCACAGAGTATAAGGAGCTCAAAAGCAAAAGTTCTGTTTTTCAGCAAAGCCAGGTCCTACCCAAAAGTTTTGCTGGTGTGGTTATAATGATGGGTCTGAGGCACAGTGGTACTACTGCCCCCTCAATACAGGTCTGCAGGAAAAGTCTGTCATATGGGCTTAACCTTATTCCAGATTTAGGAGGCCGCTTCATACATCTTCGATGTGTCACAATCTTCACCTTGAATCATTAGCACATTATAAGACCAAGTCCTTCCCCTCATACTTCATTGAACTTATTTTTCAGGTCCTCATATCAGCATCAATGTGGAAAAAAAACAAACACGTTTGAGCATCTAGAGCTCTACTATGGATGAATGCAGAGAAAAGCAACATCTGTAGATAACCACAAATAGCCTTTCCCCCCCTTTTTTTTTTTAAGCTTCTGTTGCTGACTGCACCAAGGTAAGTCTATCTTCCAACTTGTAAAACAGATCAAATTATGAACTGCCTAACCCCTTAAAACAAGAAGGCAGGTCTTTTACTCAGCAGTGTATCCTGGAAACCGATGTACAAAAGCAATTATTTGTCACTTAACTTGGTTAGACACTTCACAGAGTCACAGAATGGCTGAGCTTGGAAGATACTTCTGAAGGTCATCTGGTCCAACCCCAAATGCTCAAGCAGGGCCAGCTACAGACTACATCCCAGACAGCGTTTAAATGTCTCCAAGGATGGGGACTCCACCACCTCTCTGGGCAACCTGTGCCACTGCTCCATCATTGTCACAGAAAAAAAAAAAAAAGTGTCTCTTGATGTTCAGGCAAAACCCTGTATTTCAGTTCATACCCACTGCCTCTTGTCCTGTCACTGGGTACCACTGGAAAGAGTCTTACCTCTGTCTTTGCTCTCTCCATTCAGGTATTCACATACATTGATGAGATCCCCCCTGAGGTTTCTCTTCTCTGTGCTGAACAGTCCCAGCTTTCTCAGCCTTTCCTCACAGGAGAGATACTCCAGCCCCTTCATCATCTTAGCGGCACTTTGCTGAACTCTCTCCAGTATCTCATCTCTCTTGTACTGGGGAGCCCAGAAGTGAACATAGCACTCCAGGTGCATCTCACCAGGGAAGGATCACCCTCCCTCAGCAACACTCCTCCTAAGGGCAACTTGCTGGCTTATGTTCAACTTGCTGTCCACCTGGACCCCCTGGCCTTTTCTCCAAGAATATCACTCAAGGGATTATATCCAAGCAGCTTTACAATCACGCTGCTTTTACTTGCAAGTAGACAAATTCTTAAAGCAGCAACCAGAAGAGGGATCTTTAGAACGGTATGCTGCCTAAGTTGAAAGGCAACAATAGTAAGCCACCACAGATCAGGACAGAGGGGCATTTGCTACTGAAATACACAGAACAAGATCAGTAGGTAAGTTAACAGGACTTTCAGTAAATAAAACGGGTTAGTTAGATTAGGGAAGTATACCTAGGGAGATGATTAAATGGTGCATGATGCCCTTTCCTGAAACATATCACTGTCTCCTCCCTAAGTCAGTACAAAACTGGGGTACAAGGTCAACTCTGTGCTACTTCAACGTGACTTATTTACAACTTACCAGTCTCAAAATCAATACCTGTTTCTGGCATTACACTATGATTTCTTGAAATCTTTCTACGAAATCTGAAACACTGAAAGATTCTTTTAAAAGAAAGAGAAAGCCAGCAGTGTTTAAGCAAAAATCAGATGGCATCAAATTTGGCTCAGGGGAAAGGCAGCTACCAAATCCTTCTGAGAAAAGAGGGAAAACAAGTTTTGTCATATAAAACCCATTATTTTGCTTACAGTGGAAACAATCTTGTTTTTATAAGTAACTGGTTTATGAAACTAGAAATACAGTGAAATGAAGACCACTTCCTTTCACAGTGGAAGTTTCCATAACTGGAAACTGAGTATTACTGAGCTCTTATAACATTACCAGTGAACAAGAATTGATCTTCTAGAAAGTCACCGTTACATGGTTAGCTTCAGAGAATCATGAACAGAGAAGATTTGGAAGCCCTTTAAAAAAGTTAAATCCTAGCCTAGATGAATCAATACAGTTCAAACAATATAAAGGTGTACCCTCTATTGTGCTGCCTTCTCCAGCCTGGACTCCTGCTTCCTGAATTGCCTCATCCTTTGCTGTAGTGCCCGTCACCAACATTGTGCTTTCAGAAGTCTCTTCTTCTAGTTTCTGAGCAGTTACTACTTCTGCTTCTGATTCCTGCGCCTCCTTCACCTTTTTTTCTTTTCCTCTTGATACCAGTTTTTGGGTTTTGCCTTCCTGAGTCACTGATGAAGCTTTCAGCTGAATAGCTGCTACTTGGGTTCCAATAGACTTTTCCTCCAAGTAATCAGATTTATGAGTGACATCAGTCAGGGCTTGGTTTTCAGCCACGTGTGGTTCTACAACCAGCTTCTGCCGATCTGCTTCTTTTGGAGTCAATTTTACTGTGGGGTCTCTTGCTTTGGATTTTGATGTTTCACGATTCACTGATGTTTTAGAAAACATGACCTGCTTGACAGGAAACATATCGGTTTCTCTTCTGCTTGGCTTCTTTTTAGCTACATATTCTTTGTGAGATTTCTGGGACAAGTTCTCTTTTGCTAGCGTTGATGCCTTTAGTGCTATATTCTCAGAAAAGATGGAATCTCGTATAGGAAACTCAACTTTGGTTTTAATGACAACTTCTGAATCATCATCATCATTTTCTTCCTCAGAATCTGAGCTAGAATCTGAATCCGAGCTGGATGAAGATGAAGTTTCTTCCTCAACTAACTCCTTCCTCAAGCCTCCTTCTGTTGCAGGTGTATTGACATTTTCTTCCTCAAGCGAAGAAACAACTACTCGCTGAGGAAATGCAACCACAGTTTTTCTTGACATGAACATCCTCATGTCTTCAGCAGAAGGTTTTGAAGCTTCCTTGAGGTTAGTACTAGATATGCTCTCCCCTTTGTTTGCAGATACTAGGAGAGAGCTAGAAGACAACATTTTAGGAAATTCAACTGGCGCCTTGATGCCTAGCAGCTTGGTGCTTCCCTGTGGTGCCGCTACATCTAGGAAATGGCATAAAGAGAATTATAATCATCATACCCAACACCGCTGTTAATTAGTGATCTTAGTCACACAATTTTAACTTTCTGAGATAATCTGGTACAAAAAGCAAATTGAAAGAAGTTATTACACTAAATACAGGCATTACAAAGCAGAAAGTTTTAAGACATTTTAAGTTGAAGAAATGAGAGTTCTAGTTAGCACTGAACAGTTTTTGCTGCTATGATGCTGAAACTCATGAGATAATGCCTTTTGCTCCTTGCTTTGTCAGACTCCTCACAAGAGCTGTTTTTTCTCTGTGCTTCCATTCTGCATCGCTGAAAATGGTTTGCAGACACCTTCATATCTCAGATGAACACTAAGCTAGCTTGTTAGCCAAGCTCTTCAAATGTGCCGCTACAGAGATAGTATTTATCTATGGACAAGCCAGCGAAGCAGAAGACATAGTAAACAAACATAGCAGTAGCTAGCCTCTTGCAATAATTATCTGGAAAGCAGTAGGAAGGAGTGATGCCCAAGAGACAAAGTAGCATAATAAGAGATACCTGAAGCCATACAAGAAAGTATTACTTGTTCATGTGTCCATATGACCTACCAACTGAACTGTGTCTAACACAGTTTAATGTGATTTCTCCAAGACCTTGTCTCCTCCAGTCTTCACGATCTCCACTTCCTATTTTTGGTTCGAGACCTCTTTGTACAAAAGACTTAGAAGATCTCCTAATGCTTCCTGTTAGCCTGCCTTTATTTCTTCTCCCTCATAGATACTTTAATTAAGCTAAATTCTCCAGACAAGGAGCCAACAGTTGAAGAGAAAGCAGCAACTTTCAGGGCCTTTCAGAGAGTATCAAATACCCCTTGGATGGCTGTGCCAATGATACCCTCAAGAAGCTGATCAACAGTGAATACTGTTGTGGTTACAGAAAACAAGAGGACTGGAGCACATCAAGAAGGTACATCACTGCTGAAATTTGCTATAGCAAAGCCAACTCCATTATGAGTTGCACAACTTCCAACCAGGAGTGTAATTCAACAGATTTACAGCCTATTGCATGGATTTATCTGCACAGTTTGAAACCCGATCTACTTTACAAGATCATAACTAGATGCAGGTTTCCCCCTTACTAGTATTTTACAGTAATACCTTGTATGATCCAAGGAGATACTACAATTAGTTCTGAATAGAAGCAAGTCTCTAGCAATGTCCAAATGAAAACATCACAGAAGAGACAGACACATGAAGTTAAAAGCAAAGTATTTAAAAAAGAAATACAGAGTTCTTAACATAAGTACAAATTAAAAAAAATATCAGTTTACTATACAGGTAATACTTTGTAATAATTTCAGACACAGTTCTCTCCGCCAGACAGAAGGTGCAGGGCACGGAGGCAGGGCAGTGGAAAGTAGGAGGATGGGCAGCCACCTTTGAAAGAAGCCTGAGTCCCTGCACAGCCTGACATAGCCAAACAGCAGCTTGAAGAAGCTAATACGTGAGGAAACATTACTTAAGGTTGAAGAGTTCTTTAAAGAAGCGTACAAGGTCAAACTAACACAAGAAGAACCAAAGGGATGACAGGCAAGCAGAAGCTGAGCAAAAGCTGAAGAAGTATTAACGCTAAGACATCTTAAGAAAGCAAGAAGGCAAGTAACATTCAACTTGACCATTAACAGTAGGTGTTACTGGAAAAATACTTTAAACTGTAATATTTGGATATGTGGAAAAGATACATATTTCAGCTTTTAATCATAAAGTCTAATACAACTGGCACAGACACTTAATTAGGGTACTTCAGACTTCATACCACCTGGTCGGTATTCGCATCACTCTACCGAAAGAGCAATACATCCAAATCAGTAACAAGAATATTTTTCCCAGATGCATTCTTACTGATGTTTGTAGCATCAGTATCATTACTGAAAAGTGTTTAAAACATGTTCATGCTCAGAAAGGTGGTATACACAAATTACAGGTCTATTCCCCATCACCAACTTTATAAGTAAACACGACCATTTTACCAAAGCAGTGAAAATTTGCACACCCTGTTCCAGCTAGAATCTGAAAAAGACAGCTGCATCCTATACACCTTAACCATTTGCAAGGGAAGCAGCTGACTGAAAGAGGTGGCCTAAAAGGTCTCCTGACACCTTCTGAAATCAGAGCTGCTGAACAATGAATCTAGAAACTGATGCTAAAGTACATCTCAATATGCTTAAAATAATACAAAAAATTATAATAAAAAGCAATTTGTTGTTCAATCAAGCTTGTACCTTTGCAGCAAAGGCTTTCTTAACAGAACAACCAAGCTTCTATTTGCCTTGGCATTTATGAAGCTAACATTAGAAGCCAGAAGTCTGCATTCAACTAGTCTTTCAGTGTCTTCCAACAGCAGGCAACAAGCCTCAATACTCCTACATATGGTCCCATGGAGCTTTGCTGTTTAAGCACCTGGATCTCTAATTTGCGATGGGAATCCTACTCACTGAATCAGTGAGCCTCTATTTACAAACTGTGTTTTGCAAAAGATACCTCTCTTTGAAATTTTTATTTATGTTCTTACTTTGGTCAGGGACAGAAGGGGTTCAAACACTTCTAAATGTTGGAATGCACTGCACCATCCAAATCCAGGTCCATGTTTTACCTCGCTTGCAAACCTAAGGGGTGAGAAGCCTTATAACTAACATAACAGGACCATGGTAGTTTTCTGTAGCTTCTTGACAGTGTTGCCTGGAGCAGATACTTGGATCTTGAAGGTCTCTCTCTGTAAAATGGAATCCTTTTTGACCTCAATAATACAGACATTTCTAAAGCAAAGGGGGAACATTTGAAGTTCACAACCAAATTTTGCACCTTATTAGAAAAAATAACTTGCTACACTAATTTCCATCAAATTTCAGGCAAATTACAAAGCTTCTTTAAGTTAGGACAAATGTAACAATAGCTCTCCTTAAGTCTGGTCAAGTATCACAGCAGCTAACATAATAAGGTGAAGGTAAACAGGAAAGAAGTGTCAAGCTCATAGTATGGCTTATAGATATATCCCATACAGACCCATTCCTACTAGAACTTTAGTTTTCTTGCTATGTCTCATTTTGTTCATCAGGAATCTTTTAGTGGAATTTCTGTTTAAATGACATAACATCATAGGTTCACATGTTTCTGATCCTTCTGATCCCTGTTTACATGGTGATGACCTTCACTTTCTTGGCTTACGTAGCAGCTATTCAGAGACACGGCCATGAGCATTTCTAAGCTCTTCTTGCCTATCTAATGACAACCAAAAGGGACGGGCGCTCCCCTGATCCCATCGGCAGATAAACTTTTAAGATCTGCGCACCACCCAAAGGGCACAGAAACCTCCGGAGACTGTAGGGGCAGGCAATCAGCTACCTTGCCAGTTCAGCACCAGAAACATGAAATTCTCCTTCCTGAATACCCATTTGCATCTATCCACACCCCACCGCCTCTCAGGAACGAAACAAACATCTTACTCTTCTTTGGCGGCATCCCGGACCCCGCCGGCTTGCTGCAAAACGCCGCGGAGGGGGCCGCTCCTCCGAACCCTTGGGCCTCCAACCGCAACACCTGCAAGGCACCGTAGAATAAAAATGAACCAAACGGGACCAAAACAATCTCAAGTCCACAGGGATCCCTGGGGGCTGCCATCACCTACCGCGCATGCGCACCTC